TAAAGGGTTAGGATAGAAAATGTAGGAATAAAGATGGTTAATGACTTGCTCTCAGCCACACTGCTAGTAAATGGTAAAGTTGCCTCTTGAGTTTAGACAGTTTGACTGTAATGGAGTCTTTGGATGGCACACATGGTAAAGTGGTAAACTACTAATCATAAAGTTTGGTGGTTCAAACCCACCTGGTGGTGCCTCAAAGTAAGGCTTGGTGATTTGCTTCTGAGAGGTCATAGCTTTGAAAACTCGATGGAGTGTAGTCTGCACACTCGTGGTCACCATGAGTCAGAATTGACTCGACAGCAACTAACAACAACACAACAATGGATCTCACGAGACCAGCCTAAGAGAACACTGAAACCAACGTTTATACAGTCAACTCTGAAGCCACTGATTAACTGAGTAGCCTGGAGTAAATCATCTAGTTTCTCTGCATTTCGTTTCCTTATCTATAAAATAGGGATAGGAGTAGGCTGGATCAACCAGGGTTGCCATTGCATACTTTAATCTAATCTATTCATTTCCTAGTGTCTGGCAAGCCTGGCTCTCCCATTCTCACCTATGAGGACTTCAGGTTCACTCTTCCTCATCTGATTTTGACACAGGGTCCTGAACTTTCCTGGTTGGGTGCTACGTTGACTGCAAACCCTACAGCAAAATGTGGCCCCCTTCCACGCCCAAGAGCAGTGCTGCACTTTCATTTGAGTTTCTTCTATTTTCAGTACATGGCCCAGCTTCAGTTTCTTGATGCTTTTTTTTTTTTTTTGAAAGAAAGTAAACTTGTTGTCTGGGCACTCAGTTTTAATTTTCTGTCTTCTTTGTTCTTTTGCATGCTGAAGAAAGCTCCACTCTCCCAAGGAAATTCTACTATATATTTCCATCATTTTCCTTCTCTCCCTCTCCAAGAAATGCAAATAAAATAACTGTCAACTTTTTTTGCATATATAAATTTTAACAGCCCATACATGTCAACTAATCTTTTATCCAGGAAGGAAAGGCTTATTTCAAATGACTGAAAGGTTTTCAATCTTGTTGTGTAATAGAATCACTGTGTGGACATGCTACCTTACGATTAGCTCACCAATTCCATTCACTAATTCTCCTGAGCACCTACTATGTGCAAGTGTACAGTCTCTGTTTTCAAAGAATGTATCTTCCACTAGGGAAGATAAGGCAAATATTCAAATAACCATAGTACAAGGTAGATGTTCATTTTCTTGTTGTTAGTTGCTATTGAGTTGGCACCAACTCATGGCATCCTTATATAAGACAGAATGAAACATTGCCTAGTCCTGTGCCATCTTTATGATTGTTAGTAGGTTGAAATCTACTGTTGTAGCTAGTACTGCAATTGGTAGATAGGGTACACAGCTCACTGCAGTCAAGTTGATTCTAACCCATAGCAACCCTGTAGGACCCTATAGGACAGAACAGAACTGCCCCATAGGACTTCCAAAGCTGTAAATCTTTATGGAAGCAGACTGCCTCATCTATTTCCTGCAGGGCAGCTGGTAGGTTTGAACCACCAGCCTTTTGGTTAGTAGCCAAATGTCTTAACAACTGAGTCACCAGAGATCCTTGCTAGAGTATACTAAGTGCTTTGAGATGGGTACAAAGTACTAAGACAGTTCAAGTATTTGATTTGGGGTGAATCAGGGAAGGCTCCACAGAGTCGTTATCATTTAGAATGGCCCTTGAGAGAAAGGTAGAGTTTAGTGAAGAGAGAAGGCAGGCAGAGAATTTAGAGAGAAAAGAAATAGGCAAATGTTCATGTATTATGAACAAGTAGAAGGAAGGAGCATCAGATGTGTCATGGTCTGAGGATTACACTTGGACTGTAGGGCTTATGTAAGGTTGCAAGGTAGTTTGGCAAACTCCTGGCATGAATGTCGTACTCTCTATCCTCAACCCATGGGAGACAGCCCACATCTTTCCAACCAACCTCAGGAGCTGGTCCATGAGATAAGATCAATTTGCCATCGCTGGTGTAGGAGTGCAGTGATAAGTGAGTTAGAGCCTAGAATACCATGTTGACTAGTTAGTAGTTAATTGGATAGGCAATGGGGAGCCATTAAAGTCTTGTAAGCAGGGGAGTGACATGGTGGGAAATGAGCACTGTAGTTCAGGATAATTAACTTGGCAGTGCTTCTGCGATGGATGAGAGTGGTTATAAGATTGATTGGCCAGTTATTATAGTTTTATAATAACTTTATAGTTTGGAAAGTTATTATAATGGTTTAGGTGAGCAGTAATGTCTGGAACTGGAGTGGTGGCAGCAGCAAGGAGATGCATGTGTTGCAGAGGTAGAATTTGTAGCCTTTGAGAAATATGTTAGGATGTGGAGAGCTAGGGACAGGAGCTAGAGACATGAGTCAAAGCTAACTAACTTGGAGATTCCCAGTATTTATCTTAGAGTAGGAGAAAGGTGGTGGTGTTACTATCAGCACAGGAGCCTAGGATCAGAGGTAGTACTGGTCCTGGTGGGTAGGGGAAGAAAAAGAGGAGTTGCAAAAAGTGGATGTGGGCTATTTTTTTTTTTTTTAACAAAGCTGAAGTTTTCTAAGCCCTTGTCTATCAGAGAACATAGCAGTGCAAAGTAAAACAATGATATTCAAGAAAACACTATTGCCCTTTGTCAATGTGTCTAAGGCAGGATCCCAACTCTCCAAATGTTTGGAAAATTGGAAAGCCTTGATTAGTAATCAGGAAAGGGGCATAAAGAAAGAAAAGAAATATAAACCTAATCACTGTGCTGTTCAGTTTGAAAATGCTTCCTCAATCCAGGTAACTTATACTTTAGTAACAATGATTGACAGCCAAGGAATATATCTAACTCACTTTTATTTTTCCCTTGGGGAAAGCACTTGGGTTCCCAATTGTTTTAAATTGCAGCAGCAGTAATTGTCTTAGAGAGTTAGAAGAAATGGCTTTTTAGAGCTGGAATCTATCCCTGAAGGGAACAGAGAATCTATTTTAATTGATTAAGGTCACTAGGGCCATTTTCAGGAAGGACTTTCCAGGATAACCAAATATCAGGTTAGTCAAAGGAAGACAACAGCAAAGGTACCAGGTGGATGCCTAAAGGAACAGGCTTAATCAAAAAAATGTTCACAAGTTGCCACTGGTACCTGCACAGAAGCCAGGGAAAAGTAATTTGCATCCCAAATAGAATTATTAGTGAAATTTAATATAAAAAGTATTTTTAATTATTCTAAAAGAAATATAGGACAGTGGCATGGATTTCAAGATGCTCACTGCCCAAGAAATTGTTTCTCAAATGGTGGACTTAGATATTTGATATCTGACATCTATTTAGAAAAGTCAAGTGTGATAAGTGGGGTCATTGCATGAAAAACATTTTTAATAGGCTAAATGGTGTGAAGGCTGTCCGGGAGATTTACTCTTTGACTATGGGGAAACCTACACACCTGATTGGGAATGGAAGAGGCATTGTTTGCAGGTGCCAAGAGACAGGCTTAAAGCCAGGGATCTTTATAGCAACAATATTCAAGTATCAGAACGGTTCACATCTCATTTACATCACTTGGAATACTGGACCACAGGTTTTGCTGATTAACACATAGACCATGGGAAATAGTATTGTATGTTTGAAATCAGACCAAGATCAGTGACAGTAACACAAACTACATGGGAAATTTGGCATAAGGAGGATCCTCTTAAGCTATTATCTAATTAATTTTTTCTTTCTTTCTTCTTCTTTAAAAGCATTTCCCCAGACCCGGAAGTTAGCAAAAGCAAAATGTTCCCCAATTCTCTTCACCCCACCCCCTTAGACACGCATATTTATGCCACCTTCTGGTATATAATAATATTTTTTATTGTCAAAATTGGTGAGCCTTCTGAAAGGAAGGTGGGGGTGTGTTTGTTAAAAATGGTGTGATCTCATCAGTGTCTTTACAGAGGAAAGAAAACTGCGGATGGTATATCGAGGCAGAGAAATCAGACTTTTCCCACCTGTCCAATGTGTGTTGTTCCTTGGGTTTCATTAAGCACCTACCTACCAGGTGTTGGGTGATTTTAATGGAGGAAGGGGTGGTGTAGGATAATGCCTAAAATGATGTGGCTTATTATTTGAATTTTGTCACTCAGGCATTATTAATGCCTCTCCGGTATATCTTTTATGGATGTGACTATACATTTAGTAGCAAAAGTATCAGTGGAATTGACAATTAGCAGATACTCATGAGCTAGATGCACAGAGGCATATTTCATCCAGCTCAGATGGTCATCGAGCAAATCGACTGAAGTTTTCTTCGGTGAAAAGTGTCATGCCAAACGTTTTTTGAGCCTTCGCGGAGGTAACAGCAAAGGAGCTAGAAGTGACCCCTGTCAATCACACCAGAAATGGGCTGTTTTGGGCGATTCTAGGCTCATAAAGTCTGTTTTAGACAGAGATGCATCTAACCATGATTGCAAACCCACTGGACGTCTCATCCCAAAGTAAAAAGTGCCACGTCCTTCCATCCTCTCATTTCTTAAGTGTCAGCCCAGAATTCCTTCATGGTTTCTCTATCCCTGGGCTGGCAAGGAGCTTGCTACCTGAGATTCCCCAAAGCGGATAATCGGACTTGCCTCTTGCCAGGCTGGAGGCGGATGGGGATGAGTTCTCTTCCCCAGAGAGCAGCTGAAGTCGGCACAGAACATTTCACTGATTTTAATTTTTGTCCCTGGGCTGGGGAGAGGGGAGGTTTGGGGCACAGAGGCTCTTTCTTCCTCCTCCCCTATTTTCCCCACCTCCCAAAATTGGCAGCCAGTCTGTGGCTCTCGGTCTGGGGTCTAGAGGGTGGGGAATGTGGGTGTGGGGGCCGGTTGGAGAAGCTCTCGCTAGCGCTGCCTGTGGCCAGACCCGCCTCCCAGCCCCTTTCGGGCGCACACACACGTCCACCAGACACACTCCGCGCGCTCCCTCGCGCTCTCGCTCGCTCGCCCGCCGGCCGCCGTCTGCTCTCTCCCTCCTGCTCTCCCTGGTCTCCTTCTCCCTTTTTTTTTTTTTTTTTTGGTACCATAGAGTTGCTCTGAAAACAGAAGATAGAGGGAGTCTCGGAGCTCTCGCCATCTCCAGTGATCTCTACATTGGGAAAAAACATGGAGTCAGCTCCGGCAGCCCCCGACCCCGCCGCCAGCGAGCCGGGCAGCAGTGGCGCGGACGCGGCCGCCAGCTCCAGAGAGACCCCGCTGAACCAGGAATCCACCCGCAAGAGCGAGCCGCCCGCCCCGGTGCGCAGACAGAGCTATTCCAGCACCAGCAGAGGTAGGAGGCTGGAGAGGGGTTGGGGAGGGGGCGGCGGGAAGCGCTGGGGCGCGGAGCAGGGGGCGGCCGGGAGCAGGCGCCCGGGGCGCGTAGTCCGGCGGCTGCGAGCGAGCCTGCAACGGCGCCCCGAGTCCGGAGTACCCCCTTCCCCTCCCCCCTCCGCCCCCCAGAAATGTTGCAAACTTTTGCAGCCGGTTCTCAGGTTGCGGGAGGAGAGGGGGGCGGGGGAGGCGACGGGAGGGTTGACAGCCGGCAGGCTCACCCCCTGGCTTTGATTTTTCTGCAAAGAGGTAAGGAAAGCCGCGTTGCCGAAATTAAATACACTCCCCCAAAATCCAGAGAACCGGAGAGTGGGGGCCCAGGAAAGAAACTTTTAAAGCGGCAGTGTCCTTTTAGGAAGAAAAAAAAAAAATCTGTTTATGGCAACCCTCCTCCCCCTTTACCTTCTCTCCTCTTGACAGTTTCGGCCGGCGCAGCCTGAGTCTGTGGTGGGTTTTTGGCCTCCTGCAAAGCTGGGAAGGGGGCAGGTGTCGTGTGTGACCTGTAAAGCCCTAGGGGTGGAGAAGGGGCTCGACAGGGCGGGAGTTACGTAGACGCTCTCCCTCGAGCTGGGTGGTGGGTTTTGGATTTGAGCAGGGGCTGGAGGATGAGGCGTGCGGGCGCGCAAGGTGCTCGCCAAGTTGTCTGGCGAGCGCGGCAAGGGGAGGTGCGCAAGTTTTGCAGACCCGGGTTCGGAGCTCGGCGCCCAGGCTGGCTGGGGGCGTGTGCGCGCCAGCGCGCGGAGGGCAGCGGTCCTCGGGGCGCTCCCGCGCGTACAGAGTGAGCGTCTACAAAAACAAATAAGCAGAAAAAAAAAGATCAGAAGGCATCAAAACTTCTTTCTGCTCTGGGAAACCTACCCTGTTTGTGGTTTTAGGCTTTTCTGCAAGAACACAGGGATGGTCAGTGCAAGTTTAATGTTGGTTAGACAGTGCGAACGATTTTTTCACTTCATTTTGGTGTTTGGAGTGTGTTTGGAGGCGAGGGGGCTCCCTTGCTCCCTCCTTGCCTTTTCCCCTCTTAAAGTGGATTGTTGAGGAAAGCGCACTCTCCTTTTCTTAAAGGTGTCTGTCAGAACCTGATGTTGGGTTTTCTTAGGGGAGGGAGATTATTTATTTGAATGCGCTTGGAGTTTGCAAAGAACAGGAGGAAGCTACGGCTTTAATTACTGTTGTAAATAATGTATAAATCACGCCTGTCACTCTGGAGGAAGCGGGCTTGCTCCTCTCCAGCCTCGGGCTTGGGCACCCGCCCAGCGCGCCCCCTCCGCTTGTCACTCGGCCTCCGGCAGCGATTGGGGGGGCGCCAGGGACAGGCGAGTGGAAGCCCCGGGAGCTGCTCCTTTCCTCTTGATGTTATAGTTGGAGGTAGGAATATGGCTGATCATGTGCTGGCTGTTTTGCAGTATTCTAACCCCCCCCCCCTTAGCCACACCCCCTGTCCGGGCGCTTTCCCATTCACGGAATCTGAGTACAGTAAAAGCCATCAGGATGATACACGTGAAAAACATTTAATTAAAGGTGATTTTCGAAGAGTGACCACTGAGTCGCGGTTTGAGCGGGAGGGGTGCAATAAGGGCTGGGAGGAGAGAACGGGGCTTCTGGGCTGGGGGCCCGGACCTGCCGCTAGCTTGGTGAGTTTGTGTGCTGAGAGCTTTTGGCTGCAAAGAGTATATTTAGACCCTGAGACGGTGGATTTGGAATGCGAGCGGGTTATGTAACAGGGTTAATCAGAAACACTGGAGAAAATCCCCTTCATGTGTTTCTGAGACTCTTTTTTTTATTTTAAATAAGAGGAGGGGCTATAGTATATAGGATGCTAGCAGCACTAGTTTCTGGTTTGTGCCACCCCCCTCTTGTGTAACCCCCCTCCCTTGTGGTGTTATTAGCATCTTCAGGTGTCATTCTTGCCAGAAGGTGTTCTTGCAAGAGATAGGGGTGGCAGGCTGCAGAACCAACTAGCAAATCCGTAACTTGCTGTTCTTGCAAATTATATAACGTTGGGGCAATCAGTACCACCAGCCCTTTAGGCTCAGCAAAAGGGGAGAGGGACAAAGTAATGTTGGGATGTGTCTTGCATAGCTTGACCTGCTGACCCTACATGCTCTGCCCTACAGAGGCTCACCTCCCAATCACTCTTCTTTGAACCAACCCTTATCCATTTCTCTTAGGAGATTTAAATTGGGGGAGGGGGGTGGTGAGGTAAGGCCCAAACACTCAACTCACATCCTGCACGCAGGCACTAGGTTATATAACAGTCTGAATGGAAAAAGGAAGGTCAGAGATGGAGGCATCCTTTAGCTAACACAGCAGTAGTAATAGCTTCCAGAAATTATGTGCATTTGCAGACTTTAACCTCACATGGAGCTGCTGCTCCTCAGGGGTACCAATCTTTGTGTGTGTGAACTAGGGAGAAAGAGAGAATGTGTAAGTATGCCTGGTAGATGAGAGTGATTTGAAAATGGGAAATATTTGGGTTTTCAGATGATGTAATGGAGTTGGCAGAATATGCAAGTCGGCTCCCAGAGTGTAAGCAGTAAGAAAATTGGAGCTGGCATCCAGTATTAATGTTGCATAAATTACAATATCGGAAGGAAATTAACCTACACGCTAGGTGATTATGCCTTTTTAATACTTAAAACATAAAGGCATACAACTTGAAAGGGAAAACAAACATCATCACCTTATAATTAACATTTTCAACCTCAAGGAGGGTTGAGTGGAGTTCTTGGCGTTGGGTGCAAGGGGAAGCTTTCTGATTTGGAAGATGCTTTCCAAGGGGTTGCCAAGGTTCGTTTCCAACCAGTCATATTTGAAGTCCACAGAGATTGTGTTCTGGGTTCTCATGACATTGAGGTGACCTCATGAGATACTACCTAGCTAGACTTGAGGATATTGCTGAATTCCTAAATCTTGGGAATCTGAGCTTGAGTGAGCTGCACACCTTTAGTGCCTGAGCTTCCAAAATCAGATGTGTAACTTCAGTCTGAAAGACACTCTCCCCCCATCCTTAAAACTGCTCAGGGAATGGTAGCAGTTTTAATGAAACTGCTCAATTGTTCTTGATAGTATTAATGATGGCTGGTGTCATTCAGTCCCATCTTTATAGCACAGTGAAAGGGAAAAAAGAAAGGCGACAGGCAACATAGGAAGCAAGAATGAAGCAGGGGAAAAAAAACCACAGTGAATCTTTAATTTAACAAGGCTTTCAGGGACTTCAGGGAGCCACAAGCATTGTGACATAACTGTTGTTAAAAACCCTTTTCCAGAATCTCATTATTATATGCATGCCAGAAGCTTACATATTTTATTTCACTAAAGTTATCCTCCAGGGCTGAGTACCACGCAGTCAGTTTGCAAAATTGCACCTGGGCTGAAGGTTGAAGGCTTTCAGGGCAGGCCTACCTAAGGGAAAAATCAAAACCAAAAGATGGGATTAACACTGAAGGGCTATGTTAGATCGAACCCCCTGGAAGTTAAGTTTAGATTGATTTAAAATCAGTTAACAGGGCCTGTAGTTTATTTGTAGCCCTGAGGACTTTTAGAATCACTAAGTCTTTGACTTTGAAAGTTCTTTGCCTTCCCTTTCCCCTTTCAGTTGTGGCCAGTTCACTTGCTGGTAGGTGCTTTTGCCTGGCAATTTGGAGCCCTTTTTAGAGATTGATTCTCAGATTAGTTTTTCTTGCGTAGACCTGGCTCTCCACAGTGAACGAATGATGCCCCCTAGTTTGAAAGACATGCTGGGTGGGCTAACATCCATTGCCAGAGGGACTGAATAATTGTTTTTAAAACTAAGGAACTTTAATTTTCTGGTAAATTGCTCATAAAAACATTTATAATTATACCTTTTAAAAATGTAATGGAATAATTTTAGAAAATGTGTTTGATGATAGTTATGATAACCTTTTCTGCTGCTTCTCCCTTATTTCTTAAAAAGAATTGAATTATTAATCTAGAAGTCAAGTTCTGAGTGGCTGAAAACATTTATGGCAGACTCTTTTTATGTTAGTCACCTGCTGGAATTTTCCAAAGCTTATTGGCATTAAGAGGAGCCCAAGGCTTTAAAAAATGTCCCTATTTCTGAAATGGAAGCCTCTTAAGGAGATGCTTGAGCTTGTGTTTTAAAGTAGCAGAGGTGAGGGGTACAATGCACATTCCTGATTCCACCCCATACTCCTAACGTGGGATGCAAGAAGGTGTGAGCATATTAATTGCAGTAGTTATGCCTCTGGATGAAAATGTTCAGAGGATTTTTGGTGACACCTGAATATCTTTTAGAAGCAACTTGACTACTCTCTGGAGCTGAACTTTGAAGTGAGACCAGCCAATGGGTTCCTTTCCTTGGGCTACACTCTTGTTACTTAGGAGTTAAGATGCCTATTTTTCTCCAGATTAATTGCCACTTTTGCATTTAAGGAGCACGTGGTGTGATGTTGGCAGAACAGACTTAGTTGGATGTTATTGAAAATTCTTTTCATGTGGTGTTGTCTCTTTAAAGTACATGCCACTTTTTTTTTTTTGTATGCATTCTTTCTTTCTCTCTCCATTTTTCCTACTCTCCTTGATGAATTGTGCTTCTTAGCTTATGTATATATTTCTCTGTCAGTAGAAGCAAAATATATAACTACATTTCAGGTGTTTAGAGAAAGAGTTGTAATGTGACTTACCCCATGTGCAAAAAAAAAAAAAAAAAGGTGCTTTTTTTTTTTAGTATAAAATCATGGATCTGCTTAATATGACATATCCTGCTACTTATCTTTTTTGTCTTCCATAAGGCAATGTGCAGGGACATCAGGGTGGACATCATGGAGATTCCTGGCCCATTTACCTCAGATAAGATTCTTCCAAAGTAAGGAGAGTGTGTTTTGCAAGGCCTCAGGTGCTGGTGCGAACACTAACCTAGAATGTGGCATATCTTTCTGAATAAAAAGGTTGTCTTCCTTGCTCAGAGTTTAGGTGTCT